TTACACCAGCTGAGGTTTAACTAAGGGGAAGGGAAACAAAAGGATCTTACTTTAAACCTCAGCACATAGGTTAAAACAAAGCATGTGGATGTTTTACAATTGAATTGTTCCAAGAACACATGTTTAGAAGAAACATGTGATAGAGGCTGTTCAGGTCTCTTCCACAACACGTCCATTGCATGACCTTTATCTGGAACAATCTTAAGCAAGAGTTAATAAAAGATGAATCACACATTATACATCATAATAGTTCATTAGAACAAAACCCATCAAACACAAACGGAGTATAAATAAAATATTTCTAACAGAGATCTAAAATAAAACTGTTAATAAATGTGCAGAAATATAATTGGTCTATATAACACAGTATAAAAACAAACACATCAGTGTTAAAAAAGGTTAAATGATAAAAACGTTTTAGATCATAAACTTTCTGATTCCAACACAATAAATCAAATGAAGCCGCCGTGATGCTGAGTGCAGCCACAGCATGATGCTCTGCTGTCTGCCTGAAGTCCTGCATAGATGTAGATAAACTAGATTCTGAAGAGCTGCTGTTTGCTGCAGGTTTGTGGAGTGGATCCCAGAGGTTCCAGCTGATGTTCGCTGGCTGTTTGGCGTCGCTGGAGACGTCTACAGACAGGCGTGGAGAATCAACCCCGCCGGCTCCACCAGGTGAACGACTCCTCAGTAATTCTATTCAGTTTATTTCTATGGCTCCCATTGATGGCATGTCACCTTACAGAGGTGGTGCAGTCAGATTGGTAGAGAGGGAAACCAGCTGGTTGCATCCAGTCTGTGACCTGCAGGACCTGCTCCTCCTGGATGAGCTGCAACTACCTTTGCGAGCATGCATGTGGCGACAGTGGAGGAAAAAAACTCCTTTGAAGAGCAAGAACTTTCCACTAGAACTAGCCTTAAAAGTAGACAGGGTGTCTGCCTCACGGACTAAAACTGGTAGTTGGTTCCACAGGAGAGGAGCCTGATAACTAAAAGATCTGCCTCCCATTCTACTTTTAGAAATTCTAGGAACCACTAGTAAACCTGCAGATTGAGAGCGAAGTGCTCTGTTAGGAACATAAGGAACAATCAGATCTCTGATATCAGATGGAGCTTGGCCATTTAAGGCTTTATATGTGAGAAGGAGGATTTTAAATTCTATTCTGGATTTAACAGGAAGCCAATGAAGAGAAGCCAGGATAGGAGAGATGTGATCTCTCTGTTTTCTTCCAGCACATTTAACCAATAAATTGAAAACGGTTTCTAGCTGTGGAGGATTTTACCCCATATAGATGAAGAAGTGGTGCCGCTGATGACCTCATATCTTTATAGTTCTGTGAAAATAAGGAGATAATGACTAACAAACATAAAGAATCAACCTGACTAACAGTGACTTGATATTATTGAATAAAAAAAGCAGAAATGTGTTGATGATCCCTCTGAAGGCGTCCATTGACTGAATGATGTTCTCTTACAGCGAGCGCTCCCTGAGGAAGTGCCTGAGCGTCCCTCCCCTGCCTACAGAGACCGACTGTCCCACACAGACTATGACGCCTGCTCTGTCTTCTCTGGAGCTCCGCAGGGATTACTGGAACATCCAATCATCTACCTCGCCTGCCCCCCACCTCCCCGCTCTCCCCGCTCCGGCCTCCCCGCAGCCAGTCTGCTTCTTTCTGGGCTCCCAGGATGAACCTCAGAGCCCTGAGCAGCCGTGACAAACATCCTGAACTCCAGCTAAGCTCCGCCCCCTCTGGGTGAGGTTAGGGTGACTGATGGGAGCGGATGACTCTAACATGTAGAGGGGCGGGGCGCTGCCTTCTGCTGGGCGTCCATGTGCCTCGGAGCAAACTACGTCTTGCTTTGCGTTGGAAAAGTCGCGTCCTTTTTAGGGCGGGGCTTCTGTCCATGAACCAATCAGACGTTAGTGGGAGGAGTTCAGCAGGTGCCTTAAGGTTTTGGAAATCGGTTCCTTAGAAAAAAAAAAGCAGTTTTTATGTCAGAGATGTTAAAAAAGAAACTACCTGTTTTCTGTTTTTTTTTATTCTTGTTCTTAAAGATTAATTTAATGTCAATTTAACCCTAAACGTTCAGAATGTTTCCTCTTTACCAGCACAGCATGTCTCTGCTTATTAAGGCTGAGCTATGAAAGCACTTCTAAGACCACATGTCACTTTATAGATCCAGATCAACCAGATCAAGCAGTCAAATTAGAGGTTCAAAGTTTTCTTTCTAAGGAAAACCAGCTGGTTGCATCCAGTCGCGAGACTCTGCAGGAATCCCTCAGCCTGATGATTCTTCTCCTGATCAATAAAAGGCTTTTAGAAGCTTAAACATCCTAAATCCTAAACTCCTAAATGATGCGAACGTTTGATTCTGTGTGAAATTTGAAAGTCCAGGTAATGTTTGGTGGAGGTTGGAGGTGTGGGACACCAGTAGCCTGCTCTGATTCATCTATATCTGGTCTGAACAAAGAGCCGCAGGCAGAGGACGGGAAGTCTGAGGTTTGACTTTAGAAGGTCTACATGTGTCCGTCTGGACCTGATGGACGGCGAGGGGACGTACGGCTGCGTCTACATCACTCAGCGACCAATCATCCTACAGCTTCCCTGCTTTCCACTCAGTCTGACTCAGCTGGAGGGTTTAAACATGATGGGATTTCTGCTCCAGAGCAGAGGATGTTGAGGCTTTCTTATTGTCTGTTCTCTTCTAATCCAGCCTTAATCTGCTGCTTCCATCCCAGTCCCACCCTGCCCTCACTAATCCAGGATTAATAATTTTATTTGGGGCCGTTTTTAGGCGCTGCGGATCAGATGAGGACCGATGAGGTCCAGCAGTTGTTTCCAGGTCTTCCTATCCGTATCTCATCCTCTGCTGCTTTCCCAGTAAACTAACTGAATGGCTCCCAGCAGGCGGATGGTGCTGAGCTGGAGGTTTGCTCCACGGATAAACCTCCCTCAGTTTAAAGCTTGGAAATATGGATGGAAGAGAAGTTTCTGCTCCTCAATCTGAAACGCTGTGTTGCTTAATTTGCAATAAAGATCTATAATCTGTCTGAGTTTGGATTCATCTTGACCATCAATAAAGACTGTTTTTAATGCCTGGTTACAGAAACGGTTGTTTTATAGATGTGTGACTTCTAGAGAGAATCCTCTCCAGCCTTCCTGTTTTCCACCCTGATCAAAGGTGTGACAGCGCCTCTCGTTGCCTCTGTGGTTCACTGGTTTGCAGAAAAGGTTGAAATCCCACCGATAGTTTGGCTCATGGGTCAACATCTGGTTCCACTTTGTGGGTCAGAATCTAAGAGGTGAACATCTACGTCCCTGAGGAGGATCAAACAATCAGACAGGAATATGGAAAGAAAAGAACCTTTACGGATCTAATTCAGCGGTTCTGGATCATTAAAACATTTTAAATGATGTCGTTACCAATTACATTCAATGAAAGGAGCAGATTTACGCCATCGTCTGTTTGCAGGATAATCTGATGAAGAGTCACAAACATGTTATAACTGATCAGCAAATATTAACAGGAACCAGAGGCTGCTTCTGCTTCCGCCCACAAACAGGAAGCAGTGACGCAACCAGCTGCTGATCCAGATGTCCGACCTCTGCAGAACAACAGCATCATCTCTGAGGAACAGGAACACCTACAGCAGGGGTGATCAGGTCCAGTCCTCCAGAGCTACCATCCTGTAACAAACCTGAATCTAAAGAGTTAATCCCCTGATTCAGCTCAGCAGAGGCAGGATGACCAGGTTAACCATTCATTCAGGGGGGTTAGAACTGGACTAGAGCACCCTGACCTGCAGGGTGGATGGCCCTGCGCATGCGCGCTGGATCCTCATCTGCACTTCCTTACTGTGCATTACGGTAAAAACAGCTGATTCCAGAATAAAGGCAGTTTTATCAGAGGTTTTCACATTAAAGTTAAAACAGTTTTAATAATTTAATCTGTTATTATTCAGCAACAATTAGCATTTATAGAACTGAGCAGATCTGATAACAGAATCACATTTATGTTCGCTTTCCAAACTGAACCCAGTTTAAAAACTGAACCCTGTTTAAAACCCTGAACCCAGTTAAAAAATTTAACCCAGTTTAAAACCCTGAACCCACTTAAAAAAATTTAACCTAGTTTAAAACCCTGAACACAGTTTAAAAACTGAACCCAGTTTAAAACCTGAACCCAGTTTAAAACCCTGAACCCAGTTAAAAAATTTAACCCAGTTTAAAACCCTAAACCCACTTTAAAAATTTAACCTAGTTTAAAACCCTGAACCCAGTTTAAAAACTGAACCCAGTTTAAAACCTGAACCCAGTTTAAAAACTGAACCCAGTTTAAAACCNCCTGAACCCAGTTTAAAAACTGAACCCAGTTTAAAACCTGAACCCAGTTTAAAAACTGAACCCAGTTTAAAACCCTGAACCCAGTTAAAAAATTTAACCCAGTTTAAAACCCTGAACCCACTTTAAAAATTTAACCCAGTTTAAAACCCTGAACACAGTTTAAAAACTGAACCCAGATTAAAACCCTGAACCCAGTTTAAAAATTTAACCTAGTTTAAAACCCTAAATGCAGTTTAAAACCTGAACCCAGTTTAAAACCCTGAACCCAGTTTAAAAATGTAACCTAGTTTAAAACCCTGAACCCAGTTTAAAACCTTAACCCAGTTTAAAACCTGAACCCAGTTTAAAACCTTAACCCAGTTTCAAACCCTGAACCCAGTTAAAAAATTTAACCCAGTTTAAAACCCTGAACCCACTTTAAAAATTTAACCCAGTTTAAAACCTGAACCTAGTTTAAAACCTTAACCCAGTTTAAAACCTGAACCCAGTTTAAAACCTGAACCCAGTTTCAAACTTGAACCCAGTTTCAAACCTGAACCCAGTTTCAAAACAGAACCCAGTTTAAAACCTGAACCCAGTTTCAAAACAGAACCCAGTTTAAAACCTGAACCCAGTTTCAAACTGGTCTGTTTCCAGTGAAAACCCGGAGGTACCGTAATGCATCTTATAGGCGCGCAGAGGCCCGATGAGGAAGGATGGCGGAGCCTGAGGACGGGAAGCGACGGTCGGTGACTTCTAACGCTGAGTCGGACCAATCAGGACCTGACGGGAGCCTGGATAAGGCGGTAAAAACAGCACTGTTTGATGTCATCGCTTTGATCTGGCCTGACGTCAGATGTTAGCGGTCCGGCCGGGCCGTCACCGTGACGCATACGGGTTGTGTGATGGCAGATGCAGACAGAGGGCTCGTGCCTCCTGCGGAGGATGGAGATCTGCGTGTCTGAGGCGGAGAAGAGGAGCGGGAGGAACGCGGTGAGCATGCAGGAGACCTTCACCGTCTACCTGCTGGAGACCAGGTGAGCTCAGCTGCTGCACGCGGCGCGGCGGATCCTTCCTTCTGTGTTGATCTTCTCTCTGATCAAAGATCCATGGAGGCGATCGCTGAGGGCCTGAACCCCCCGCCTGACTGCCTGTGGAGGAGGTACAGCGAGTTCGAGCTGCTGAGGAACTACCTGATAGTCACCTATCCTTACATAGTGGTGCCCCCCCTGCCTGAGAAGAGGGTGAGTGACCTGCTTCAGTTTTTATAACGGCAATTTGCATATATTCCAAAATGTTATAAAGAGTGATCAGCGTAACAGCAATTAATTGCATATCAATATTTGCCTAGAAAATGAACTTTATCCCCAAAACACATTTCAGCGTCATTGCAGCCCTGCCTTAAAGGGACCAGCTAACATTGTTTCAGTGATTGCTCCATTAACACAGGTGTGGGTGTTGATGAGGACAGGGCTGGAGATCAATCTGTCAGGATTCAGTCAGAATGACACCACTGGACACTTTAAAAAGAGGCTGGTGCTTGGCATCATTGTTTCTCTTCTGTGATCCATGGTTATCTCTAAAGAAACACGTGCAGTCATCATTGCACTGCACAAAAATGGCCAAACAGGAAAGAGAATCGCAGCTAGAAAGATTGCACCTCTGTCAGCAATCTATGGCATCATCAAGAACTTCAAGGAGAGAGGTTCCATTGTTGTTAAAACAATGCAAGAAAGACCAGCAAGCACCAGGACCATCTCTGAAAAGTGTTTCAGCTGTGGGATCGGGCTACCAGCAGTGCAGAGCTTGCTCAGGAATGGCAGCAGGCAGGTGTGAGTGCATCTGCACGCACTGTGAGGCGGAGGCCTGGTCTGAAGGAGGGCAGCAAAGAAGCCACTTCTCTCCAGGAAAACCATCAGGGACAGACTGATATTCTGCTAAAGGT